AATGTGGGCCTTCATGAGTCTAGTTGATCTAAGTATAGTTTTCCTGATGCCTGAAGGTTTCATTCATTTGTTCAAACTACAATATAAGTATGATGATAGTGAAAATGTTGAACCGTCATGTAGTTAACATGGATAAGATCGGGTTGAACCATTTTGGCAAAATTTAAAATTGTGATTATTTTTACCCAATATTGTGATTTTAATTTCCTTTGAACGAATGTCAAGCGTGTAGATGTTTTACTCCAGGTTTAAATTTTTTGTTAATCCAGAGTCTGTTGCTGCAGGACTTTACTGTAACCTTCATTTGGAAAAGTGCTCACTTCTACTTGCATGCATAGATTTGCATGCTTGCAGGAACGATATTTGCTTTTTTTGTGGAAGCAAACCCACTTTAAACATATTACCCTAATTAAAGGGCTGGAGTAAGAAGTTTTTTTTTCTCAGACTCGTGAAATGTAATCTGACCAGAATTGAGTACCTCTGCAATTTGACAATCACCTTTTCTTCAATTGCATTTAAAATGCAAATTGGTCACACAACCTCTTCAATGCTTTGGTTTTATTGGTGTATTATCAACAACCAGAAATTTCAACATATATTTTCGTACAAAACGAAGCATACCTAAACCGTAAGCATCACCTTTTAAAAGAACAATTTACAAAAATTGTTACAAAACAATGGATGAACATGTGGTCCTATAGATCACTCTTAGGGTAGACCCTCTTAAGGTTGGCTGCAGACCATTGTATTTGTTTAGCATTATTTCAAGACTCCTTTCTGGTTTTGGGGATAGAATACGTTGTACTCCAGCCTCTATTGCTCCCAACTGACAATCTTTGGTCATTTTTTACTAAGAATATTAAAGAAAAGCCAGTGATCGCAATACATCCCTAATTAGAAACCCAACGTTTGTCTGATGGAAAAAGGGAAGTAGGTAGAGTATTTCCAAATTTGATTAAGACATAAAATATCACTCATCATTAAATGAGCATGTTATCATGAGGTCTGCCTTATAGGCCTATTGTTCGTTCAAAACCCGATTGAATTAAGGTTTAGTATGTCTTTAACAAATTATCTACTAACCGCTGTTTTTATATGTTTGCATGATAGAAATTGAGGCCATTTTAAAATAAATTCCGAAACAGCAGCTTGACTTCAGAACATGACCTCTGGTTTTAATGCCTTGCACCTGGCAGGATCCAGAAAGGGGGATGGAGGTGGAAATATTAGGGGTTGAATAGGCCAACTGAAAGAACTGACTGGTGCACCCATCTACGGTAATAAGTGTGCAGTTCCTGCTGCTAAGAGAAGTTTTACTATGGAATTAATAGATTTTATGTCCCAGCAAGCCAATAGGATTGATATAGAGGTCACCTTATGTCAATTCAGCAATTTGACTTGTTCTTTACACTTGAGCTGAAAATCTTGCTAGGAACTGTGTATCCAGTATTTAACCTAGCAGTAGCCAGATTAATATGTGTAGAACTGAGTTGAGTTCTACGTTATCAATCTGGGGTGGCTGCCGTTCAGTCTGTTCATGAAAAGGAGGGATATTTAGTACAATACTTCGAATAGTTGGGTTGACATGCTAGCTAGTACCAGCCTTCCATAATTTTTTTATAATTCATTCAATTGAAGCAGCAAATCCTGACGTTTTCACAACTAGCAGAGTAAGCAGATAAGTCAAACTTTTTCCAAATCCTTCAGGAAGAAAAGCGAAGACATCTTTCCCATCTACAAATGCACAAAGTGCTTCTCTGCTCCTTTTTTAAGCGGGAAATTGTTGCTACTTTGGTTAAAACAGAGTCATTTGTGGTATGGACAGGTGAGTCCTCCAGCGTAGCCATGTTTCTAATCCCCTGGCAAGGCCCTTCTGACTGTTGTCATTCCTACAAAAAATGCTTCTGGCAAGTCATTGGTCCGACGCGCTGGTTGTTACGAGACGACCGTATTAGCGGGAGTCTTTAAGGATTGTATTTTTGTGAGACTGAAAACACAGATCTCATAACAAGCCAGCTTGCAGGACGCAATGTTAGCATGTTTTAGCCCAGGAGCAAAAACAATAGACCCTGTAAAGCGTTAGGGTGCTAGCTGAAGCTGGTGTCATTCCTTTCAGGGAAATGGCTTCTATTTTGAACAGATGTCCTCTGATCTGATGGAACAAAAATTGTGTTTTTGATTTTAATGAAGGAAAAAATTTGGGATTATTGAAACACCTGGGATCTGTTCAAGACTTTTAAAGTTTAGAGTTGTTGCCATTGGAGGGACAGGTGGATTTCACAAGAAGGAAAGAACATCACATTGAAAGATTGACGTTAAATATTAAGAGCCGTCCCCAGAATTTGGTCAGTCAGTAACTTAAACTTGGGCACAAATGGGTCTTTAACGTATCCTATGATGCTTAGCATTCCACCAAGTCTATTACAATGTTGTAAACTCCAGATATGGGTACCGTTTAAGGTTAGAGCTGAATAGGTGTCTTTAAGCAAGGTGTCCTATGAAACCAACTCTGTTACAACAGTTGTCTGTAAATAAATAGTCCCATTTAGGCAATTGGAGGCCGAACTGCACAATATTTGACAATGTTTTATCTAATGCAAAGGAAATATATGGACATTTTTTGGGTTATTCTTACTAACCTTAAACAATAAATATTGTTTTCGGAGTTACAGCAGTGAAGGACTCCCAAGTAAGCTCTTGAGTTTCTTAATCCTTTAAATTAAAACTTTTTCTGCATAATCTCTTGCCTCACTTTTACTTCAGTACAGTGCAGTCATGGCTGTGAATTCTTTACAAGCTTCACTCTCATTTAATCATTTAGACACACACCTCAGATATGAGGCCAATTCATGCTGTCATTTCTTCCTACTTGCAGCTATGCAGAGCTTTAGTCTGATCACTAATTGCCCTCTTTCGTTTCCTCTCTGGTTTACTCTGTGAATTTCATTTTTCACTGATTTTTTTCTTCCTCATGTCTCTTTTATTTGGGCCAGAATGCATCTGCAAGTCCTTGCATAAAAAGCAGCAGTATTTGAAGCCTTTTACGTGTATTTGTATGATCGCTGCTGCTGGCATGCACAGCAATGCTTATAGTACCGTAGTCGTCCCTAATCCTGGATCTACATCTATTTTACTGCTTGTCTTCTTCTATCTCTGGCCTCAGCTGTCGTTAAAACTTTCTTACAGAATTATGTCATTTCTGGATTGGAAGGGAAACGTCTTCAAACTTGGAAACAAAGTCCAGTGGATTTGTTTTTAATTTTCTTTTTTTTTTTTTTGGAATATCAGTTATTTCGTATATTGAAAAATTATAGCCTTAGATTAAGAAATCTAACCCCCCTCAGATCGGAGTTTAGATTCTGAGAAAATATTTGGTGTTTTCCTCAAAGTTAATGAAAAAAAATGCTCCTAATGGGTTTAGGTCGTTAAGCCAAACCAGAGATTCCTGTGACTTGTCAACAATGTCTTGTGATAAACTGTTTGGCTCTTCACTTTCCCATTTATATTAGATTTAGTGCAGCATGTTAGTGTTTATTTCCTACATCTTAGAAACCCAGGTCTTATCAGTCGGCAACATACTTTAGAGTAAAAATTGCTCTCACAGCTTAATGTTAAACCAGCTGTATGTGAGCTTATAGAATCACATTAAACTACAATCCCATCCACAAAATCCTCCACTTTTGCAGTCATTTCAATAAATCCTTTGTGTTGCAGAGGTAATGGCAAGGCAATGATCTGGGTTTATGCAATGTCTTGAGTAATGTCAAATCATGCAATAGATGAGCAGTGGCCAAGAACATCCTTTATAATATGGTTTGGAAATGAGTAAAAAAATAAAGATTTTAATCAGTAAGAGATCGATGTGATCTAAAACAGCTGCACGTTGAACAGAACACTCACTAAAAGCTGTTTTGTCAAAAAAAAAAAATCGCTTTTTTCCCAGTGAAAAAGAAAAATAATATGTATTTATATGTATAAGTTAAACAGAAGTATATTCCAGTGTCTCTGATTTCTGCTATAGGGAAGGAAATGCAATGATTTCATGTAGATTTTCTGTCATTGATGAGGTTTAGGGGATAAAAAAGAATTACAGTTTTGTGGCTGGTTTCTTTACCCCAATTTTATTTTTAATATCAAAGATCTGGATGTGTAAAGAACAAAAACTTCAGGATTTCTTACCTTAAGGCCTAAAAATGTATCCTATAAGTGTCCACTATTTCTACCATATTCTAACATTCACTGTTTCTTTTCAGTGTGTTTTGTGATAAATGGCATGAAAAAAATTGATTTTAATTGCTTATAACCAGTTTTAATGCTTACAGGCTCCTGTGTAGCATCAGAGTTGTTAAGCTAAGGAGCAAAAGTAGTGAATTGCGTAGTCATAGTACTATAAGACGAAAACCCTGCCTTATACTGCTCATGTTACTAATGAACACCAGTTCAGTGGGGTGTCTTTCTAATCTGTGGTCAGCCTTTTTCTCTCATTTTTTTTAGTTATCCAATAGTTTTGTTGATTTTAACATTAATATGATCTATAGCATTTTAGTGAACGTGACCTTAATGAGGACATTAATGCTGATCCACTTTATATATTCCCAGGAAACTCTTTGTGAAGTCTTACGCTCATGGTCTGAAGTGATATCAATGGCTTAATGTAGATCCTACAGAAACTTCTAAGCGAGTAGGGACAATACAGGAAATTACATGTTTCACAGACACTAAAGATGGCAAGATTAGGTTTAATCCTATAGAAGCATCTCAGCTTGGGATTTTCTTAGAAGGCTAAACACTTGAGGGAAGCTGAGACTGATGTAGAAAAGATGAAAAAGCACATTAAAGGAGTGTTTTCTGGGCATTATCCAAGAGGGTTCACAAGATTATAGCTTAATATACAGATCTAAATACTTTCCAGCTGTTATTTTGCTGTTAATTCTTCATGCATTTGTTCATATTTGTAAATATTTTGACTGAATCATTTGTTTTTCTGTGTATTTTTCTAGAAGCTCTCCAGAGACCAGATTTTGAGGCTCAGGGTCTGTCAGAAGCGGCTCGCTGGAACTCCAAAGAGAACCTGTTGGCCGGACCGAGCGAGAATGACCCCAACTTGTTTGTTGCACTCTATGACTTTGTAGCAAGTGGTGACAACACCCTTAGCATTACTAAAGGTCAGTGTGATTTGTGTTTTTAAACTGCAGAGTTTTTATTTTCAGAACTAGAAAGAAAAGTGTGGAATTTGATTCAGTTGCATCAGGTCTGGATTGGTATGAAAAAAATCTTGGAATATCAAGGAATTTGACCTGATTCACTTTGCGCTCAGTTGAAATTTTAAATGCAGATTCATAGATAAAAATTCTAATTTTTTGGTAAGTAAACAATGTTTTTTAAGAAGTAAAAATATGCATGATGTTGCTTTGACATAGGCATATTTAACAGTGACCGTCAAGTGTTCATCAGTGACAACACTGGGAAAGAGAGCTCGTTTTCACAAACAGTGCTCTGTAGCTCCGACCTGAAGGTAAAATCTGTTTATGGGGTCCTCAGTGATTTGAGCTCCCCTTTTTTAAACGCCTAAACCTGTACAGGTCCTAGAAGTGGGAAGGTTAGATGTTAGACTCTGCATGCCAAATTATCTGTCACAGTTTGGACCCGTCCTGCTTTCTGGACGGCAAAAATCACACAGATGTTAGAACAGTGGAAAAAATAGATAACAGAACCTGCTTGAACCTCTTGGGAACAGTGTCCTTGTGCGGACCATCTCACTTCAAAACAAAGTCCACAAACAGGATCCTGGCGGATGTTCCTGGGTGGTTAAAGTGGTCCAGGACGAAGCAGAGCTCCGAGTTGTTTCCCCAGTGAGCAAATTAAAGGGGATCCTGCAGTTTGCCTGTGATGTCCCTCAGATGCCTTAACACCCCGCTGCTCAGAGGAGTTCATGACCACAGATGTAATGGCAACAGTGCTGGAGTCATTTAACCCTGAGCTGGTTCCTTCCTTGAGGACTGGGATGTGAGGGGAAATGGGAGACAGTTGGTCAGTGCAGGTTCTCAGGAAGACATTCCTGCTGAACTAAAATAAAGCATACTTTAGAATGAATTTAAAACCAATTCTGGAAAGCTGTGGGTTTTACAGAAAATGTGTTTAGGAACCCTGGTGATAATAGATTAAGTAATGTTTGCCTGTGTTTATCATTTGTATTGGTCTTCAGAAGAACAATCAGTCCCTCTGTTAGAGATAACTGGTCCGTGAGGTTAAGTACTGCCAGGAATCTCCGTGTTAAGTCCTCTCTCCTACACTCTTTGTCCTCATTTCACTTCCTGACAATTCTCTGACATTTTTTTTTCCTACTGAGCTTCCAGTGAAACAATGCTGCAGATGGATCACAGAGACAAATGGAGGAAGGAAGGAGGGAATGTAGCCATTTGAGTAAACAAAGAAGGTCTCTAACAAAACATAACTTTAAGTGCACTGTTGCATCAGGGTTTGTTTGGCCAGGAGTGCAGATAACGCAATCGTTTTAATCTGCTGATGCAAAAAAAACAACCTCCATCTTTGTTTTCCTGCAACTCCACTGTTTTCTCAAGAATATAAAAATTTCTCTTTAACAGACTTCATCTTAACATATTTTGTACAATATTTTTTGTCCTTTTTACTCTTTCTGATTGAACAGGGGAGAAGTTGCGTGTGCTGGGTTACAACCACAACGGGGAGTGGTGCGAGGCACAGACCAAAAATGGCCAAGGTTGGGTGCCGTCCAACTACATCACTCCAGTCAACAGCCTGGAGAAGCACAGCTGGTACCACGGCCCCGTGTCACGCAACGCCGCAGAGTATCTGCTTAGTTCGGGGATCAACGGGAGCTTCCTGGTCCGGGAGAGCGAGAGCAGCCCCGGACAAAGGTCCATCTCCCTGCGGTATGAGGGGAGAGTCTACCATTACAGGATTAACACTGCTTCAGATGGCAAGGTGGGCACCAGTGGAAACACATGCACTACAACCGTATAGAGCCCTGCGCATTCAAAGTTTGGATTTAAATCCAATCAGAAGTGTCAGTACTAAAAAGTCCCATAGTGTGGCTGAAATGAAATAATTATGAAAAGAAAAGGGGGCCAATATTGCTTCACATTTCACACAGAGCCTGGTATTCATTTCTATAAGTAAAATAATTGTCATTTCCATTTGTTTGTTATTGAAATCAGCTTCATCCCAAGAAGAAAGTGTGTTGAAACAAGGCAAAAACAGAATAAATCTCTAAGGAGGTAAAAAAAAGTCCTCGATTCATACCACTATCAACAAAAAGCACCTAAAATTGAACATGTCCCTGCCTGACATAATGCTTTAATGCCTTTCACCCTCACACTGGTCAGAATCAATGCAAGCTGGAAGCTCAATACGTGATTGCTATTCTTCTAGCAGGTCTCAGTCACAACAAAAAACAGTGATCTTTTTACAGCGACTTAGTTTTTACAAAGGAAAGATTTAACAGCCTCCTGCTTGCTCAGTCCTGTCCTTTACCTCTCCCTCCTGTACTTTCTAAACGTCAAACGCCTCTCATAACAACCACATTCAAAAGATTATTACCTCACAAAGAAAGCTCAAATCAATGCTTTCATTATTTGCGTCTGTTTTAGGATGCACCCAGATGTTGGCATTTAGAATAGAATAATATCTGATCTGTGGTTGGCCAGAGAAGCTGAAAGTGTAATTTTCAGGCAGCAAATGGACCATAACTAAGGACTAACATGTATTGCTAACAGCTTCCTTTAGTATGGAAGGCTGTGACTAGAGTGAAAAAAGACTTGCTAAAAGCCTCTGGAAATGAAAGTCCTATGAAGAGAAAACAAAAAGAAACAGGAAGCTCCATTTTGTCTAATTAAATAGAGTATATGGTGTACATTTGTTAAATTTATTGGGAAATCTCAGGGTATTTTTTTGGGAAATGAATTGCCCGACGGATCTCTGGGTGGAAAAAGAAAATTTTCAGCCTGTATCATCCTCCTTTCTGTGACGAGGAGAGGTGAGCTGGCTTCATGACCAAAATACCTCTGACCACGACCGCGCTTCATGTATGGAGCAGCAAAAACACAAAGCCTGACTCTGATTCTTACTCCCTTATTGAGAAATGCAAGGTATAGACTAATGTAGCAAAGCATGTATGCTCAAAAAATGCACTGAGGGAGAGAATAGGGCACATGCACAAGGTTTTCCTTCATCTCTCTGAGCTGAAAATCAGAGGTCTGCCATGATGGATTTCCCCAGTAACTGAAGATTACATCATCAGCCACTCAGGTTGGCAGTTTAATGTGTTTTTTTCGTTCCTCTGTATTCCCTTAATTTATGCACTCAAGTCATGCTCAAGGATACTATTTTTAGTATTATGCAACAGTGGAATAATGGAAAAGTCTGTCCGCTGAGCCCTGACCAAAACATGTCTGTCCACCAACTTCCTGATGAATGTCTTTCAAAGCTTGGAACAAAGCACAATCTAACTTTTCCAGATATAACGGTTTCCAGCTTCACCCAATGTTTCCACTCAGTGTGTTTAGCTGCTGGTATAGAGTAAAGAAACTTGATGAAGTTCAAGTCTACTTTCATTTTCTTTTTCTAAAATATTTAATTTACGTTACATAACTGCCTTTTGTTCTGGCTTTAAAAAATAAGCACATCCCTGCACTCAGATGTAAAAAAAAATGTTCCTCCCACTCAGCTCTACGTTTCGTCAGAGAGCCGTTTCAACACGCTGGCGGAGCTGGTGCACCACCACTCCACCGTGCAGGACGGCCTCATCACCACACTGCATTACCCGGCACCAAAGCGCAACAAACCCACCATCTATGGAGTTTCTCCCAACTACGACAAGTGGGAAATGGAGCGCACTGACATCACCATGAAACACAAACTGGGAGGGGGCCAGTATGGGGAGGTGTATGAAGGTGTCTGGAAGAAGTATAACCTCACTGTGGCTGTCAAAACACTTAAGGTGAGAAGAAACAATCTCAAGCATCAAATATTAGGAGGGTATCAGATAGAAATGTTGGATTAGGTTGAATAATGCCGCCATCTGCTGTCACAGAGATGGAACTACACCTAATTTCTAACTTCATTTTTTATTTTTTGCAACAAACTTATAGGAGGACACAATGGAGGTGGAGGAGTTTCTTAAGGAGGCTGCAGTTATGAAGGAGATTAAACATCCCAACCTGGTGCAGCTATTAGGTGCGTTTAAAAATCAGTTAACCAGCTAACACGTCCACATTACTGAAGCAGACTGAAGTGTGACACTGATAGACCAACACAACACAGTAGACACTTGTGAAGTGGAGGGTTGATTGTAACCTGGTAAGCTAGATTAATAATGTGTAACACTAACATTCAGCAGAGCTTTCTGAGCTGATTAGAAGCGACACCTAGAACCAGTTTGGTTTTAGCCAATCAGCGTAACAGATGAAATAGCAGCAGATGCCATGAGAAACAACAAGAGCGGAAGCTTTTATGTTTCTCTTTCAAACCTATAATCATAGATACTGATGGATAGATGTTTATTTTGGTTCTGCTATGGGCGCAGCACCTCTTGCTTTCAACACATGTACATGTCCCGCCTTGATCCATAATGCTGCAACATGATTGGTTGGCCCATTTTGTGTCTTTTTCATATTGTTATGGAGGGAGTAGTACAAGATAGATTGTTGTGCATTTGTAAACGCACAAACACGGCAGGAAGTCAGCCTGCTGTTTTAGGTACAATGAACCTAAACTAAAATTTAACCAGTTCCTTCATGGTTTTATTAAACTTATGGGTGTTTTGATCTCCGTTTAGCTTCAGTTGTGCTTGAAGACCATAGATGCGTGCTAGAAAATGCTATGAACATGAAGACAGAGCATCACACCAGAAAGATTGGGATAGAGAGATATCCACGGTTTTGAATGTCTCACTTAGAAGCAATGAATTCATCAATTAAAATAATAAATAAATAATGGATGTTAACCTCAACTGAAAGGGTCTGCATTAAGATTATTAACCAGAGAAGCTCTGCAGAAGGATTAGATATTCTGAGAAGCTGCAGAGATCTGAAGCTAAGTTTGAGCAAACCGTCAACCTTTCTTGCCCTCTGTCTGTTTTGCTTTTATGGAAAAGAAGCACAAAGGGAGAAAACCATAAATATCCATTTTAGATTTGGAAAAACTGTGGGAATTCTAGTAAAGATTCAACAGGAAAGAAATAGGTTTGGACAGTAATTTGATATTAGTATAATATCACACAATATAATTTTAATAATAACAGTAATATGAAACTTCTGATTATGCTGACTGACATTTTGGGGAATTGTCTTGTTTAAATGCTATACAATAGGATTGTCATAAACTAGTACTGACATTTGTTGTGGTCATTCTGTGTAATTGATAAGGCTTTTTACATTTTTCTTTTAATATCTATTACAATTATATGGTATCAAACAAAATTGAGAAGTATGTGGTTTATATCAGCTCTATTTTCCAGTCCTAGAAAGACTTAAATAATGTTTTAGATGTGGCAGGCGTACATTTTTGAAATTTCTGTAGGAAAACGTTAAACTAGATTCAATGCTGATTTCTATCCTCCCAGGTGTTTGCACACGCGAGCCACCGTTTTACATCATCACAGAGTTCATGACCCATGGGAACCTGCTGGACTACCTGAGGGATTGCAACAAAGAGGAGGTCAACGCTGTGGTGCTGCTCTACATGGCCACACAGATCTCATCTGCCATGGAGTACTTGGAGAAGAAGAACTTTATACACAGGTGCCTATAATCTGAGTACCACTGTCTGGAGTTGTTTTTAGCTGCATCACGGTCAAAAAGGAAAAAAAAAAAAAAAGAGCATTGGTAAAGTACTAAATAATTGTCCTCATTGTTGTGAAGTTATTCTTTATCTCATTGCATCACAGAGAGTTCATTGTTATAATAGTTCTGGCATCTTTAACACGCTCTTTTAGAAACTGCATGCAATGATTTATGTATTTAATGTTTGGAAACTGCACTTAAATTCTGGAGCCTTTCAGGACTCAGCTTGTGACTCTGTACTGAGCCAAACATATGTTGAAATCCAACTCCACAGCAGAACAGAGGACGGAAATCTGTTTTCAACTTTCAGTTTATTTGCAGCATGTTGCATGCCGTTATTCTTTAGTTTAAGGATTGTTTTCATTTCCTTCTCTAAAACAGCTTCTGGTTCTTTGTTGGTTCTATCGTGCAGGGACTTGGCAGCCCGGAACTGTTTGGTTGGGGAGAACCACCTGGTGAAGGTTGCAGACTTTGGCTTGAGCAGGTTAATGACCGGAGATACATATACGGCTCACGCTGGTGCCAAGTTCCCCATCAAGTGGACTGCTCCTGAGAGTCTGGCCTATAACACATTCTCCATAAAGTCTGATGTCTGGGGTAGGTTCATTTACCTCTGTTGTTACTTTGGAATGAATCATCTATAGTATAATGATTTTTTTTTATTTTTTTTTGTTAGCGTTTGGGGTGCTGCTGTGGGAGATCGCCACTTATGGCATGTCTCCTTACCCTGGCATTGACTTGTCCCAGGTCTACGAGCTGCTGCAAAGAGACTATCGCATGGAACGACCAGAAGGCTGTCCTGAGAAGGTCTATGAACTCATGAGAGCCTGTGAGTACGACAAGAAACACCATAAACCTGATTTTATAAAAAAAAATAAATTCTATCTGAGGTTTCCGCTTCCTTTCTCTCAGGTTGGCGGTGGAACCCTTCAGAACGGCCATCATTTGCTGAAACACATCAGGCCTTCGAAACCATGTTCCAGGAGTCCAGCATCTCTGATGGTCAGTGCTGCCTTCTCCGTTATCTTAAGCCCTGGTGATCCTCTGTTTGCTTTTTAAAGCCTAATACTTCATTTTTTTTCTTTTTTTATTACCAAATAATAGAAGTTGAAAAGGAGTTGGGAAAGAAGGGGAAGAAGACAACTTTAGGCTCCATCCAACAGGCTCCAGAACTGCCGACCAAAACCAGGACGCTCCATAAGAACATGGAAAACCGGAACAGAGACAGTCCGGGTGGGTTACAGCCACAGTCTGTGCTCTTCATGCTTGTTGGTTATTCATTAAGCCGCAAAATAATTTAATTCCTTTATTCTTTTCAGTTTTTATTTAACTTAAATAGAGATATAGGTCACACTAACTGCATTTTCTTATTGGTTTCTTTCTTACTGACATTCAAGTTTTTTTGAGAAATCAATCCTGTCAAATTTCTTACCTAAATAAAATGTTTTAAAACGCATTATTAAAGTAATTAAATTTAAATTGTTTATTTAAATTACTTTTAATTGTTGATCATAATTTTTGGTATTTTTTAAATCAAGGTTTAAGTTTTTCTCAATTTAATTAGCTATATTAATGTTTAGGTTGGTATTTCAGTACAATTTATTAAATTACCTGCACCTGAATCTCCCTCAGGTCATCAGACTAAAGGGGGGTGAAGGCATAAACATCAGTAAGCCAGGCTCACTTTTTAGATATGCTTTGGTAAACCGTTAGAGAACTATGGAAGCCGAGAGCGGTCATACTCGGCTTTTTTTTCTTCTTTGCTTTCTCGAGATAATGACATAACTATCTCGTTATCACGAGAAAACAGTTATTGATTTCTTGAGATAACGAGATGATTAACCTGTATGAGTAATGAATGAGGCTGGCCAACAGCCCTGGATTTCCAGTCCATCCATGCCTGCGGGGTAACCATAGTATGCAGTTGGGGTACCGCTTGTGCGCAAATAATACGTTTTTCAGTTTCCTATTTCTTTTCATTGATTGTCAGGTCGTGGTGGATAATTGGATTGCATGGGTTACAGTAGAAACAACTCTGCTTTTTAATGAAAAACTTTATTCTGGACTAATTTTGGGGGTTAATGCATCTTATACCTGTTACAGAAGTAACACTAGGCGCTAAGGCGCCGGAGGCATAGGTCTAATTGCTGTGGAAGCAAATCATCAAACCAACAACGTCGTCTCGTTACCTAAAAGTTAAAAACAGGATTATTTAAAAAATGTCACATTGGCTGCCCTGACTTATACTCATAAATCCAATCATCTAGTTGTGACGAGAAAACAGCTTGTGTTATTTTAAGATAATGAGAAAATTAACTTAACAGTGGAAAAAGTATCGGAGGGAAACGACCGCTCTCGGTTTCCGTAGAGAACCACCCATAATCCTTTGGTTTTATAATCATGTTTTATCTGTTACATAAAATCTCACCCTTTATTCTGCTCCTCAGACCCTGTTGAACTGGAGGTGGGTGTGTCATCACCAATGCTACCAAGGAAAGAGCGCCCTCTGCTGGACAATAACCTAAATGAAGATGACCGCCTAATCCCCAAAGACAAGGACAAAACCCGAGGCAATAGTTTTCTCAGCCGCATCAAGATAAAGAAAAGGAACGCTCCAGCTCCACCCAAGCGAAGCTCCTCTTTCAGAGAGGCAGATATAACTATTGAAAGGAGAGGAGTGACTCCTGATCTACGAGACAGTGACAACTTCAACAATGGTACATCTTTGTCTCTGAATGACACCACGCATGGTGTCGAATCCTCAAAGTTCTTGGGAGGTAACAACGGTGCCGGAGGGATCAACAGCGGGACTCCCAGCTACCCAGGACCTTTGTTCCCTCGTAAGAAGGGCCCCCCTGCACTGCCAGGCGCGGGGAGCAAGCCGGCTACGACGCCACCCAGTGAGGAGGACGGTCTTTCCAGTTCCAACCGTTTCCTCTGGTCCCCCATCGTTTCCAACGGTCGAGATGGCACCGAATGGAAGTCTGTGACATTACCCCGAGATTTGGGCCAGCGTCACTTTGACTCCAGCACATTAGGAGGGAAGCCTGCTTTACCGCGAAAGAGGACCAATGAGCAGAAAGGAGAGAACGCCCGTCGAACGGGCACCCTGACCCCCCCTCCACGTCTTAACACATCGCCAGATGTTTCCACTTCCTTCCTGGGTAAAGACACTGATCCCAGCCCTGGTTCCAGTCCACAAGCATCGACACCTAAAGTGGTCAAGAGACCAGGAGTGAGCGGGCAGGAGGCCTCCAAGACCAGCGCCCTCCAGGCAGAACTTCTGAAGGCTAACATTCTTCCTGCCTTGGGGGCAGCAGGCGAGGAGTGTAGGGCCCGCAGGAACAAGCATACTGTGGAACCCTCATCATTCAGGGATAGAAGTAAGATACAGAAGCCAAAGCCTGCTCCACCACCACCACCCACCGGACTTAAATCGGGCAAAATCCCCCGAAGCCCGACTCAAGAATCCCCCTCATCATCCCCTTCATCTTCCCCTTCAGACGTGAAAGCTAAAGGCCTTCCTTCCTTTACAGACCCCCCTCATACATCTGCTGCTAGTGACCAATCCCGCTCGCCCATCAGCGAGGGATCCAAAAAGGGGCCTTTGGGCTCTAAACCTCCAACTCTAAAAGCCTCAGCATCCGCTAATTCTGTGACCAGTTCTCTTTCCAGCCAAATCCAGGGAGGCGGCCCGCCTGCCGATCAGAACATATCCGCTTTCACCCCTATTGCAAGAACCCGATCCTCCCTCCGCAAAACCACCCCGCGCCAAGCCAGCGAGCGCACACCCTATTCAGCAGTGACCCGTGAGATGGTCCTGGAGGGAGCCGAGCTGCTCCGCACGGCCATCTCCCGCATATCGGAGCAAACGGGAAGCCACAACGGCGTGCTGGAGGCTGGGAAGAACCTGTCCAAATACTGCGTGAGCTACGTCGACTCCATCCAGCAGATGAGGAACAAGTTCGCTTTTCGCGAGGCCATCACCAAGCTCGAGAGCAGTTTGCGTGAGCTCCAGATCTGTCCTTCGGCTACAGGGGGCGCTAACGCGCAGCAGGACTTTAGTAAGCTGCTGTCGTCTGTCAAAGAGATCAGTGACATTGTTCAGAGGTAGCGCCTCAATGGGAAACCGATACGAACTTTGACCCTCTGAGATGTGCCTGATGGGTGGGGTGTGATGAAGAGGAGCAGCGTAGAATGACGCCACATTACTGTCCCACTCGCTTATTCCTGTGGTTTCAATGATGGACTCAAAGGAAACAGTGAGGATGTTTGTCAGAAAGCCGTAACTATATATGAACATTGTCATCTTAGCCCTAATTAGGCTGTGGACCAACTACATCAATCATCTTTGAATTAATCATGTCTTACATATTTAATTTTTTTGCCCCCCTTATCACTTAACACCATCATAAAACTGGCCTCCAATATTTGATTTAATCTGAATTTAAGTCATTTGCTGTGACAATTAGCTTAACTTGCCTTTGAAAACATTTCCAGTTGGTTTTTCTGTTCTCAGCTTTAGAAATCCAGAGAAAAACCGTCCTTTATTTTTTTTTTTTACTTTATTGATCAGTCGTCACCGATTGTTTGCCAACAGATGAAACTGTGTTGCTGTCTATTTTGTATTGGTGCTTTTTGCAGTATTTGCAGCCATTCGTGCCATAAAGTAACAACACGAGGAGAATGAGCCTAAAGTCTCCTTTTGCTTCCTCCCTTTCACTTCAGTAACATTTAGAGCCTTAACAAGTACATGTGAGGCTGTGTAGGCGGTAAACGTGTCTGTATGGCTTTGGTTGAATTATTCCATATGCTTGAGTGTGGTTGTGGTTTTGTTCTTTGGATATAAATGTTTGCAGTACCAAAAAAAAAATGGATCTGGGCTGCAAGATCTGCATCCTAGTGGATTTTTCTCCTTTTGTATATTTTTCCTCAGACTGGACCTTTCCTTTTTGATTTTCTATGTATTATTTTGATGCAATCCTTTCCTCTCTGTGCCAGTGAATAAATAAGCCATCAGTAGCAGCCTTGGCCTTGCTGCTGCATGCTGTTAGATCAGTTAACAGGATGCAACACACTGGCTTGGTGTTTCCCTGGCAGGCCTCTGCTCCAAAGACATGAGGGATGGCTGCAGAGGCCCTCCGCTCCCAAAAAGAAAAAATACCCCCTTGGGAAACACTGGACTAAAACGTTAACCCGTCTGTCAATTGCTGTCTCAAAATGACTGAAAGGGGGGGAACCATAATAACCATGAAATTCCACCTTAATGTTTTAATCCCCCCTCCCTCCAGTTGTCGGAATCTCCTGGAACATTTTCGGTGTTTGTGCTGTAATCGTTTTTACCTTTGTGCCCTGCCTGACTGCGAAGCCTTTGGACAAAAGTCACAGCTTCTGGCCTTGACTTCAATGGTACCGTCATTATTGCTTTTTGTTAATTCCTCCTTTTTACCAAACATACCACTACTCTACTTTTGTGTCCAAGCCTCAATCACACATTTTGTAAAAGTTTGGCCTCTATTTGTAAATGTTTCTTCCTTTCTAACCTGGGTGCAATTTTTGTTGCAGTAAAAATACAAAAGCTACTTGAAATGGAAATCTGGGTGTGACTCTTTTATGGTTTCCTATCCTAAGCTAATATGGTTCATCTCGTTCATATATTTTTTATACCGGTATTCTGTATTTCAAAAGGATATAGAAAACAGACACATCTTGTTTTAATTAATTCAAGCCAAGAAGCACACATACAAATTCAGGTTATGTATAATTTATTTTTCTGACTAGAGTATTTTATCATTAAAATCAAAATGTCAACATTTTAAAATCATATACACGCAAAGAACGCATTTAAATGTTAGCACAGCTTTTTAAAAATTTATACATATTTACTAGTTTTGCCATTTTTTTCCTTTTTTTTTAACTTGTGGACAGACGAAGCAGGAAGTGGTCACTCAAACTGCAAAGAGGCGGGACATGGGGACAAGGAAGCCCACCAAATCCAGAAATATAAACCAATCCCTGCAGCCCAAAAAAGATAATACAGAGACGCAGGGGGTGGGGAAAATGAAGCAGACTAACACAAACATGCCCCGGTGTCTAATCTGTACAGACATGACTCTAAAGTTTGAAATAAATAAAATCTGAATATCTCAAACCGGATTGCCTCCCCCCTCAGTGTACCGGCTAACTCGGTAGTGTGCAGACAGGGTGGATGGTGGTGGGGCGGGGACTCGTCTGGGTTTGTCCTTTACACACATTAATAGAAACTATGTTACAGAATTTCCCAAAGCATGAATTACAGGCAACCCACTAGCACACCGACTGTACAGATCTTGGCAGATAACTTTCTTTAAACCAAAGTACAGTAGCAAGGTTATCACCAGCAGTTAAGAAGCAATATATATACAGCTGTTCAGTCAGGGAACGTCTATGTTACAGAAATAATGTAATTTAAGGAAATAAAAACATTTTTCTTTGTTTTACAACTTAATGTGTCAAATGGGGGGAGGGGTTGCATGCTGCTTTGTGTTGGTTATATGAGGCATCAACAATTGTCCAGATAAACAGACCACTTCTTCAGTGCAGCTTTAAGAAAAGGGAGATTTGTTTTTACTTTCTAACAAAATGTAAGAGCTAATTTATTGATTCTGTGTGAAGCCGGTGGTAGCATAAAAAAAACAAAACAAAGTGTTCCGATAAGGCAACAATAACAGATGCTGGTTAAGACGTGTTGACAGTGATGGGAGAGTTTTGAAGGTTTGATGCATGAGGGAAAGCTGAGCAAGTCAATGACTTAAAATGAAATCTAATGCCGACTTAAATCAAACACCCCAAAAGAAAAACAATGCAGGGATTTTATAACTTAACACTTTGTCAGGAATTTCTGTCTGAATTTCTTTTGTGTGTGTGTCTGCTTAATAAATATATCTCTCTTACCTTCTTCCCTCACTGAAAAGTAAACTTATTTGCATAAAGTAAAATAAAATCATAAAACGTGCATTTGAAGAGTTTGGGGTTTAAATTTCAGATTTAATTTATACAAAACTGACAAGGGGCATGTGAAACTTCTGCAGTGTGTGCATTTCACCACTATCAGCTGAACACTAAGGTGTCAGTGATCAGTGTGACTCCTGGTGCCATCTACACTCCTACTGGTGGGGGGGGTTAGGCTGAACGTTGCCAGACACAGATGGGAGGGAAGTGAGACAGAGATAGACAGAGGGAGAGATGTAGTCCACATAGCCCAGCTCAGTCTGGCTTAAGTCGATGTTTGCCCTTCTTTTCCTCCCCAGCCCAGCTCTCATGCAGCTCCTGAAACAGTGAGGGATGAACGTACGAAAGCGTTGGAATGGATGGAAAGAAGGGGTTTGCTTGAGGGAGGGAGCCCAGCCAGAACAGAAAGGAGGAAAGGCGCAAGGGGGGGGTGGGTTGCTTGGTCATTAGCAGCCGCAACCTTCCCTCTGAGGCTGGGGTTCACTGGTTAGTCGACCGCCTTGAGGTGCTGAGGGCTTGTGCTGCACCCCTGACTCGGCGGCGTTTAGGTCCAGGCTGCCATCTTGGATATTCTGGTAGATTTTCTTAGCAGCTTCGAGGAAGGCGTCCTCAACATTTTCACCTCTGTAGAGGAAAATTACATCTATGAGGCCAAGAACACAACAGCTGGCTCTTTTAAAATGTTGTCAATTTTATCATATTGCAACCAAAAACAAGTTTATGTGCTGCAGCATCACAAAGTAGATCATAATTGTGAAGGGGAAGGAAAACAATACATGGTTTACAGTATATTTTTATGAATAAATTCCCTAACTGATAGCATGCATTTGTATTAAACCCCCTTTGCTCTACTACATAACACAGAGGATTACAACAGAGAGGACACTGTGTGTCTGACGTAGGATTCATTTCCTTAACTACATCTCCTTTTCCTGTCTGACTGCTGTGAAAAAAAGCCACTTGTACAAACAAAAACTGGCAGCTAACAAATTGCATTAATATACTTGGGAGCAGGAAACCAACACAGGGCCTTTTTTAAGATTTAAAACCATGTATAGTTTTCCTTGCACTTCAGAATCACAAACTACCTTCTGCGCTAAAGTTTGAGGTTGTGATGTGACAACAAGAGGTGTAAATATATACATATTTTGCAAGGCCCTGTATGATGCAGGAGCCGACACCTTATGGTGGTCGTCACTTACGTTTTTGCACTGGCTTCCAGAAACAATAAACCTGAGAAACAAACGATAAGTCATTAAAATGCACTCCCACATTCACCAGCTAATTCCTTTTTCATCCCATTATGAAATGAGCTCATTATCCTCTCTTCTTATTTAAAAGCAACAGTATCCAATGAAAGTCAATTGTAGTCATTTCTGGATGAAATATAATTGTACAATTTTAAACTGAACAGAAGATATTTGAAGCCTCAAAACTGGAATATTTACTTGAAATTCCTCTGATCAAAACTCATAACATCGCTCAACTAAGGGTTCCAATGGAACATGTGGCAGGGATGTGCAGCTCACCGTTCTCTTCAGCAAACTGCTTTGCTTCCTCATATGTGACATCCCTCTGGGCCTCCAAGTCCGCTTTGTTTCCTATGAGAATGATGACCTAACGATTCAGGAAGAAGCAGCGTTAGGCGATCTAGCCGGTAATTTCAGTCAGGCACAAATCTCACACAGATAAATACCGGAAGACTGAACTTTACTTATCTACTAGGAGAACGTCAGAGATCAGGAACATTTGGGGCAGACTGCCTAGCTGCTGTACTATTATCAGATCTCTAACTTACTGATCTTTGTCTCTAGAAACAACTTCTTGGAAAGAAAAAAAAGTTTGGTGTCAGAATTTAATTGCTGCTAAAGATAATTATAACCTAATGTTTAGAAATTACATTTACACAGCATGAAGTCGCATTTTTGAACCACTCACACTAAAAGCAGCTTTATGATTTAGATAAAGAAAGGAAGTGTGTTTACACAAAACCAGGGCTCTATTGCTGGCAATACAAGAAATTTCAGGAAAAATTAAAATGCATTAAACATATAAAACCCATTGAAATGATGTGCTGACCTAAAATTTTATGCATTTAGAAGAATATATCGTCCTTTTTACATCAATGGGGTTTATGTTTTGTTATCTCTTACATGGATTATAAAACTTGCCTTTGATAATGATTAAAAATCTTAATAAAATTGTGATTAAACTATTAACGTAAGTATGAACAACATTATAGTGGCAATTTCTGTGCAAAGCATAGTGTAAGCTTCCCATCATGCTCGATAACTCAAGATATATGTCAGAAGCCTGGAATAGAAGGAGGCCTGTTATGCTCCTTTGATGGAGAGCTGGATGATTTAGAGCTAATCAAGTTTGCCAAGAAAAATCTAGTTAGGTAACAGGGACTGTAGTTCTTTTAAAAAAAAGATGGGAAACTAAATGGTAGAGAAGATGGAGTGACTAAGGAAAATTTTGGCTGCAAGATTAAGAAATAATGGTTGATCTTGGAAATTGAGATATAACAGAAAACAGCGATTTAATTGTGAAATATGTCTGTATGCTTACAGTATTGGGGTTAGTGAGGTTTCTGGCATCAGTGAGCCAGCTGCTCAGGTGGTTGTAAGTGCTTCTCCTGCAGGACAACAACACGGACAGGGCGTTACTATGACAGCAAGTCGAAGCGTAATCTCCAGCTATTGCACAGAGAGAACACAGCAGCAGCAGCAGCAGGTGCACCATATGAACAGCTTCAGAGCACGAGTTTGAGGTTACGGTTATTTTCAAAATCTTTTAGAGGGTTTGACAGAAGCAGCTTAATGCAACATGTATGCTGATTTCTTTATCTTTTAAACACAGTTCTCTCTAAACTGATCTGGACTAAGGACACAATAAAAAGAGAAAACATGATAACATCTAGTCCTCACAAGCCACACCCTTTGATTACAGGAAGTGCACATCTATACATTGGCAGCAGCAACGATAAACAAACGTGCTCTCATTTTGTACATTAGATAAATAGAACCATCAGAACGAGAATAATTTCTTATTATTTGCAGCCTTGTGCAGCATCTTTCCAAATTAAAGGCAATTAACAGGCTTTCCTCATCAATTTGAATATACTCTCCTCATGCTATTTGACATACCCAAGATACGATATAAACTCTGAGGGTGAAGGAGAGACTGGTATTTATCTGCTGCTGCCCACCTCCTCAAAGACAAACATGATATAAACTTTGCTTTTTTACCTGGTAATGTCGTAGACCATAAGTGCCCCTGCGGCCCCGCGGTAGTAGGAGCGGGTGACTGCCCTGAAGCGCTCCTGTCCTGCTGTGTCCCAGATTTGCAGCTTGATTTTTTGCCCGCTCACCTCGATTATCCTCGTACCAAACTCCACACCGATTGTATGAGGGCAGTCTGCCATAACTAGACAGCAAGAAAGGCCAAAGTGAAATCAGTTTATTCAGCATCTTCACTTTTTTTTTTTATCACTGTCGGTGTTCAACACATTTACAGAAACTCTATAAGGAAACTTAGTTTGAAGGTATGAAAAAATTTAAAATATTATAAAATTGCGTATTTTTTATCTTTTAAAAGATTTTAGTATAAGTTAAGCTTGGACTTAAAACATGTTTTTTTGAGGACCTAGAAGATCCCAGAAAAATAAAAATAGACATTTCAAATATAACATTTAAATCATGCAATTTGAAAAGGCTTTTCTAGATACACATTTACCCAATCCATTAACCTCTTCTGTAACCCTGAAAACCAGTTAGGCCAATCACTGTTCTGTCTCGGATATAACTAGCTCTCTTATTGGTTACTTTGTGAACAAAGTGTGGCAGTCTAACCAATGAGAGCTGGTTATATCTGAGTAGCAACTGTGATTGGCTTAACATGTTTTCAGTTTGCACAGGGACTAAAAGGGTAACAAGAAAGGCAAATGGAGCAGTTTATGCAAAATAAAAGATTTGAAAAAGGAGGTTGAAAAGGAAAATGGAATAAGGAATTGTCTTTTTAAATGTGTGATTAGGAAAGCTATATATAATCAGATGAATTTTGGTTTTACAATCTTTATTTGGAATTGGATTTAAAAATACATTTTTAATTCCAGTATTTTATTTAAGGATTAATAAATAAAAATATTCAATTCCTCTTTAAAATTCAATGTAAAATGTGCAATTAGAAAAAAGATTTTCAAATTGGACTTCAAATTGCATGATTTAAATGTTATATTTGAAGTGGCTGTTTTTATTTTTCAGCGACTCTCTAGGTCCTCCATAATCCTTAGCTGAAAGACAATCATGGGGAAATGATCATGGGCGCGAAATAAATGTAATAGATAAAAATCAGAATAAAATCAAATTAACTTCTTTCAGAAGACTAAGGAAAAACTTTTCTGTTTTCAATAAAGCAATTAGATCATTTTAAACATTTTGATTTCTATTTCTTAAAAAAAAAAAAAACAACTCAGTTATATTTTGAAGCCCAATGCTTCCTGTCCCTTCAACCTTCAGCCAGATGACCTTTCCTCTCTGCTTTAGACCTGACGTTATTCTCTGTTAAAAGGGAGTGGTGACCAACAGCTAAGGTCTTGTGCAACCAGAGGGACCTTTTTCTCTGACTCACATTTTATGATCTTTTAAATCTTACATTCCAGGGTTCAATACAATCTTATGCATAACAAATTTAACTGGACCTTTTGTAAAATTTGAGGACAAATGTAAGATTTTGAAATAATTTCTGCTGTGAAGAATAATATGCACAAGGCAGAAAAACTCAATTTTACACTGAATTTTACTTCAAATGACTGAACACCTTTTTCAAAGATAAAAAATACCTTTCACCTTTGTGTGAATTTGTCCAGGATGTGATTATAGACATGAATGAGGAACACATCATCTGGCTTTTTAATAGCAGCACTAAACACGACTGAGCTGAATGGTAATGGGAGGCTGCAGCTGGCTCATACACAGGAGAAGAGACTCTCACTGTTGAGCTACCATTCATCTTCTTTGCCACAGACATCCGCTGGCATAGAAAGAAATCTAAAGCCATTTAGACACTCCAGAGATATCTGGCAACCTTGCAAACACTGAGGTGCACACAAAGACACACAGCGGAGTTAAAAATTGGGCCAGTACTTACATTTCTTTTCTGTGAACTGATGAAGCAAACAGGACTTTCCTACCCCCATGTCCCCTATTGAGAGAGATGTGGAGAGAAACTCAGGTCAACAAAGGAAACAGAGGAGTAATCGTTTCTTTATTCAAGCCTGCAGTGTTGGCAACATACAACAGTGAAAACACTTAACATTTCATGGGGTCTTAAGAGACAAGCAAACAGACTAGGAAGGAAAGAGACATTGATTTATTCAATGTTTTTTTTAGATGTAAAACCTTATATTTTGCAGCAACTTGCACATTTTTACCCTCCTTTGGTCTGTGTATCCAACTGTAGCAATCAAGTACTGCATCAGCAGTTTGATTTGATTCATTTGTGCTACTTGTAGTTATTTAACAAAGCAATACATTTACATCAAGTCTATTTTATTGTATAAATAAACTGCACCTCAAGAAGATGGCAAGGTGACAAACAGTGGAGCTAATTGTTTATCACTGAGATGCTAAATTAGAAGCATGTAAAACCTTTAAAAACTGTAGCTTTTCAATGTTTATTCGATTTTAAGTTTATACAAAGAACAGCTAAAAGGTATGAATATAACCAACAATCTTAAGCAGTAACTCGAATAACTCCTGGATAATTGTACAAGGCCTGTTACTGTGATCACATGTCACTTACCGATGATGATGTATTTGAAAATGTAGGAGTAGTTATATGGTGCAGTGGCCATGGTGGCTCTGGAAGGAAAAAAAGGCATTTTGTCATTAATAAGCAGGAAAACTAAACATAATGCTTCATTGACCTTGCACTCAACTCAATCCCTCCTAGCAGTCAAATCCATCACTGACTATACATTTTTTCTCACTACTTGAAGTAAAGAAGCAGGAGCATAATGTTCTTTAAAAAAGACCACATAAAACGATGAACATCATGGAAGTGCAATAAAAACCTTAATTTCTTTTTAGTCAGCGGTTTATTTATAAAGGCCAGAGCAGCAAACATTATAGCAGATGATGTTACTGTGTTCACTATGCTTATGAACAAATATGGGTATAAATATTGAATGATTGACTCTTTTCCAAGCAATTTTTTAGGTGGAAAAAAAAAGAACAAAACCGATGTAAACCAGTACAGTTTGGCAACGAGAATTGATAATCCATCAACCCTCCCCACTGAGTCTGCTGGTTGTTAGTTCCACCTAACATGGATTTACCAAATAACTCAAAATACTTTTCTTTACTTTTGAGAGCCAAACAATGCAGTGTGTGTCTCTGGGTTCACCAGATAGCCAGAGACGGAACCAGTATGGAGAATGTCAGCACCTCCACCAGAAGCTAGCCTGGATGATGATTACTTTTAACGGTACTTCTGCCTATCTCTGAACCAGTTCTGTGCCCCGCTGTCCCATGTTGGGGACAAATCAGCTTGGCTAAAAGGAAGATAGAGGGAGGATGGCATTACATTAGATAAGTCAACTGGGCAGAGAGCTGAAGACGAGGGAGAGGCAGCTGCCCGGTGTTTGCGTTCCAGGTATTAGGACGATGAAGTAATCCTTCAGAGGCTTAAATTTCAAATGTTTTTTAAAAAACGATTTACAAACCTCTTAAGAGTAGTCATCCTTTGTCAACATTATTTTATCCATCTTCCACTATGATTAAAAAAAGAATCTTTGCTGCGCTCCCTCACTAAAAAAAGTGGTAAATTTGCAATACTTTCTCATTTCCTATTTTTTATATTCAATCAGATAATATTAATGAATAATTGAAAAATGTATGGATCTGATGTTGTGATTGGTTAACGGCAAAATTGGGATCGGCATTTACTCATTATGGTCATCAAGATCAGCTCCCAAAATCCTGATCTGTACATTTAAATAGACACAACAATATTTAACAATAAATTCTGCAGCCCTAATGCAGAGCAGGGATGCAATTGTTCCTCATTTATTTATTAAAACAGGTAGCTATATTGGTTTTAATGACATTTCCATTAAAACTCTGAATGGTTATCATTACAGCTTTCCATAGCACAGCTTTGAACGAGTGTGTCAGATATACACAGAGCTGTACCATCTAACAGCATGAAGGAGGACTTTTTCCAAGTATGGATGAACTGTAAAAGAACTTGCTGTAAACCTTACCAACCGTATGCAGCAAAACAATATTCTTGGCTCTAAACTTTTGAGAAAAGCATTTTGGAGACAGGAAAATTTACAGTTATCTTTTATTTATCATAAAACCATAAAGTCCTCCATGCTCTGTGCATTGTGCTTTACAGTCTGTAGAGTACAATCATGTCTCTGAGCTGTATGCTGGTGAAGATTCTCAGTCATCCAGGTCATTGTTATTCCAAAAAAGTAAAAAAAAAAACCCACTGGACTTTGTTTTCCTAAGTTTGAAGACGTTTCGCTTCCAATCCAGGAAGTTTTTTCACAGAGACAGACGGGCTACCTCCCTCGCACAAGACTCGGCTGTCCATCTATACATTATGGACAGAGTTAATTCTTTAGAAGACCAGAATGTTCAAATTTTGAATAAAGAAGAGAGGTAGTTAGAAAGGGGTGTGAATGAAGCCACTGATGTTAAGAGAGAAAAAAACAACCTTAAACAGAGGGGAGGGACTCAAGTTTCAGCTCTCAAAAACCTAAAAAGCAGCAATTGAGTTTATTCCTTCCTGCTATCACCTCAATGCCATCTCCATGCAGGGGACCATGACATCTCGCCTGATCAGCCAGGCCAACAGTGACCCTAAAGACTCCCCTTTTCAGAGGCATAGGCAAGTATTGGGTATTGCAGGCTAACAAAGACCTCGATGACTCTCCATTACTAAGGGGTGCATCTGTTCTTCAAGTTCAATTTGCATGTTTTCTAAGCCCTAACAATGCTTTGTTGGGCTACTCTATAAAGCTTGAAAAGCTAATCCAGACAATTTGAATTGAAAAAACTTCCTGGATGGGAAGCAAAACGTCTTCAAACTTCGAAAACATAGTGCAGTGATTTTTTTTTAATTTTTTGGAAAGTCTCTGAGCTAAATTTTTAGAGTCTTTGTCAACTTTACTCAGTATATATTATACTACTACTAAACCAATGATTAATACTGATCATTATAATTATTATTATTATTATATAATTCAAGCTTTTAACTTAGGTGTTAGAGAATTAAAAAAAACATCTTCTGGTTAGGCACGCAACCCAATTTGAAATAGCTCAGACCAGATCAAATCAAAATGAACTGATTCAATCTTGAAAAAAATCGAATCAGTTCCTGAAATCTTTAATGATACCCTTATATGTAGACCAAACATGAGTGCTCATCCTGAATTCATAAAGAATTAAAGATTAAACTCCTGATTTATGTAGACTATTAGTTAAGAAAAAAAAAACTCTACAATACTCAATCGACTAGTAGAATAACAGAAACCCATTTTACCTTTCTCTAATCAAATAAGAGAACACGTTCCCTATTATAGATATCTGAATCGATCGTCTATAAAAGCTAATATTTACAAGGACACATAGGGCCAAGGCCCATCTTCAGCAGTCCCAGGCCATGGCTATCTGAAATCCTACTAAGGCATCTATTTTCCCCTAAAGTGACTGTCTATTGACAACACATGCACACTCCCTCCCACACCGCTCTTTCTAAAAAGTATTTACACAAATACATCAGTTAAACAGACACAGGAGCCTGTACTAAGCATGCATTTGCTGAACGACTTAATTCATATTATGAAGACCATTCTTTTTTTAAGTTACATATTTAAATAGTTATATATTTTTTTACTTTCTATAGAACTACCAGAACTAGTGCATTTAAATCAATCCTAAATATTAATCTTTTTACATTGACTTTAAGCTCCAGAGAGCACAATCAGTATGTCAGTCTTCGTACTGTCTTTTGCCTTTTATCATTTTATTATTGTGTTGCTAACAAAACATATTCTTGCAGGGTGTTAATTATTCACTGGTTTTAAAAAGGCACCATGTTCAGATGTTTTAAAAATGAAACCATTTCAGAGCATGCTTCTCTCTCGCCAGCACGAAGCGTCAGGGATCCTTGTCATCCGCTACAGATTTATTTAGACTGATGTAGCGGTTTATTAGTGGTTTATGGCTCTTGGATTCTCATTTTAGATGAATTAGCTCTCAATGAGATTGGTAATTTAACTTATGGTAACAGAGAGGGGTGTCACCAACTCCAGTGATATTATCTTCACTATCCTCACATCCTTCTTTCTTAACTTATAGTGGGAACCAAACACAGTAGCATTACAGTAAAAAAAACAAAACAACAACTATTCATTGGCAACAAAATCTTTTCATTAAGAACAAAACAAATCACAAAAAGTTAGTGAAATACAGTATTGGGTTTATTCTGATACTAAAAATACTTCCAAGACTTACTAGAAAGTATTACCTTTAAATAGATTCTTGCTCTCCCACTGCTTAAAAAGTGGTGTGCCTTAAGGCTGTGCTTTTTAGCGAGTGGAGCTTCAGAGTAATTTGTGCTGCAGCTCTCTGCATGTGATATCACTATGCCACATCACAACCCAGAACTGCCTGGCATAGTGGCTCATACTCCAACACTGGCCGGAAAGTAACCATGTTTGACTGGCCGGACTAGTGCTGACACAACCACAGAAAAACGTGGGTGGGTTGTGATAAGATAAGCAAAAGAAAAAAAAACCCAGCAAGAATGAAGAGCGAAAGAACAGATAAAGGACCATACCAAACCGGAAGGAAATGGGACTTGGTTACAAATCCAGGATTTCAAGCTGTACTTTAAACTTTTCTTACCAAGTACATTTTAGAGGGGTAGACACTGATTTTTTTAAGCTCAATTTAATTATCAAAATATACCTAGAATATCAAAACTTCCGACTTTTATGCTTCAATGAGGCAGACCTGCATCTTTTTACTTGGGCAATCTAGCTCCCTTTAGATTTTTCAAAGATTTTTCCTAAAGCAAATTATTTTAACTCAACATTCAATTCACTGCAGTTTTTCAATCAAGCAACAAAAATGTTTTGATTCAGAAATTGATTTAGACTCAGCAGCAACATTTCACAAGCTTTTAAAACCACAAGACTTTAGTTTCCTCTGAAATGAATCCAAGTTTTATTGCAAAAGGCAGGAAAATGTTTTTTGGAGTCTGCTGCCAGTAGTAAATTACCCTGAAAGACAATTTCTTCTAACAGACCGCTGGAAGTCAGGAAACCTACAGCAGAAGACACCCAAAAAAGGGTACAAGCTTGTTTGGTGCAAATATATAACAAATAGATGAACAGAGTTCAAACCTTTAGTGTTTCCTGGTTTTCCTACAACCTTTCTCCTGAGAATTGTTTACCAAAATCTATTTTTATAAACCAAGCTCTTTAAAAAACAAATATACAAGGTAATTCCTAGTAAGCACCAAGCACTTGGAAATCAGGAGCTGAAAACTACTTTAATACAATTAATACACTGGGTCACAAGATAGTTACCAGAGAACAGTAAAATAAAAACATAAGGAGTAACTTAAGGCAGAGGCCTCTCTGTATACCCATGCTCAACCATGAGGTAAGGAGAAGCAATGATATGATGTATATAGGGCTCAAACAATTCATTGGATTAATCGTGATTAATTAATGATTGAAATAATCGTCAACTAATTTAGCAATCAGTGAATCGTTTACTGGAGTATTGAGACACTTAAACATGCCTTTGGCTGAAAGAGAGACCAACTTATAGCAGTAACAATACCCAAACATTAAAAAAAATAAATAAATAATGATAAATATTTTGCATTCAAGATAAAAAAAATTATTTTGGACTGTCAATATGCTCTATCCAGAGTTCCTCAAGAGGCAACGTTTTTGTTTCACCTATTTTCATTCTGTAAAAAAATCTTCTTTAAGGAATCTTTTGATATCCGATTTTTAATTGAAAATATGATTGGCAGATTATTCGATTAGCAGATTGATAATTAGTTGGAGCCCTAGATGTATAACAGTTATGATCAAACCTCCAAATATCTGTGTCAGATCTTTGAAATTCTGGTTTGGTTCTCATGTTTTTCTTTGTAGCTAATTTTCTTCAATAATAACCAAATGGAAGTTATTTCCAACGTTTTATGTCCTAATTTGGTTACTTTAAAAGCAAAACTATAAAAATGCGAAACTACACAAAATTTCCGACAGAAAACAGGCTATTATGGTGGGTGTCTCTAGGCTAGCCCACCAGCATCCCAGAGTGTGTTAGTTTTAAAATTGTAAAAAGTAGATAGGGAATTTAAAATACAAGTATTCATAAACATTTTATTGTCAGACATTATTGACAACTTTTAAACAACTTTAGAGTTCTGAAAAAAGCTTTTATTTATTTTTACTTTTTTTTTTAAGTATTCATTTTAAATATTGTTTCCATTTGCGTTGAATCCTGAATAAGTAATCAGCCAGTGAATCTTAAAATAAGCAATGTGATACTGGCAAAGTTTACCATTAAAATAAATAAAGAGCAATCAAGGAACTAATACACTGACTTCAAGGCCAATGAATTTAAACTGTGGATTATTTCCTCATGCTCCATGTTAATCACTGACTCAAAGGCTTTAGTGATTGAGAAATCTAGAACAAAAAATACTTTATAGATTTTTCATCTTAGTGTATTCTTTGTACATTTTATTGCTTCTGCTTCTAAAATATTGTTACGTCACAAGTGCAAACGCACATATCCATCTATGGTGGAGAGAGTGTACGTGTATTTAGCATCTTCGTTATAAGTTGCAACAAGGAGCTCTAACGAGGAATCCAAAGATCCCTTGGCTGTCCGCTGGCAATGGTGGCTCTAAACCCACCAAAACATATCAAAATCAAAAGTGATTCTCATGTTGAATTTAATCACTAACTTTTAATTTTAAAAGAAGATTAAATTTGCAAATGCAATATTATTAGTAAACATGCTCTGTTTTGTAGAGCCATGAGCTAAATTCAGAGTCCCCTAAACATTTTGGGTTAAATCTGCTTGTTTAGTATTTAGAATTGCAGCTTGGGGGATGCTCTGATGATATGTTAGCACCAATGTTAGCTGGCTCATCTAGCTGTAGCTCCGCTATCATTAATGAGCTCCGCTGTAGTCCGCTTGGGCACCAAGTAAACAAGAGAGTTTCAGGGCTCCTCTACTGCTCCCCAAACATCTGAAAATAAAGTGTTTAACCCTTTTGTGACATGTCACCAACTTCTCTTTGAGAAAGTTAGTGTCAACGGGGTTCAACTTCGTGATATAGTTGGGGAAATCCTGACTATATAAACACTTCATGATTTTAGTGTGCAATCGGTGTCTGCAAATGGTTCAAGAAAACACTTGCCTTACACTGAAAGCCCTCCATAAAATGCAATTTGACCTGCTTCCAAGCAGTGACACTAGCTAACAAGCACAGAGCAACACCATCTAAAATTGCATCTTATGTACATGTTACATTCATCACCTGTTATTTGAGTACCAAATTATCGAATTAGTATAAACATATCACAATGACGATCCCAGATAGAGGTACTAAAGTCAACATAGTATGTCGATATTTTAAGAGGACTCTAGAGTTCACTTACCCCTAACAGTTCATTTTGTCATTTGCTGAGATAACAGATTTATAACAAAAAGGAAGTTCCTCACATAAAATGGCTCATGTCCCACTAACTGAAAACTCAGTATTCAAATGTTAAATCATAATGAAGCAGTTACACAGTAGTGTCTTTTTTATCCCAGCATAGCGCTTCGGGTCTTTCTTTACGGAATTTTATTTGACCCTCATCTGCCCACTGCATCCCAAGTGTGACAGGAAAAGTGGTTATTTCCAAAAAGATTAAAAACCACATTTGAGGTCAAGAAATTAAAAGGATTAGTATTGGTCAAGATGTAGAAAGATCAAGACTGTGTGCTCACACTGCAGCTTCAGCAAGTCTCATATTTCCCTTAAACACTGAGACTCTCTTTCCAGGGAGGAAGTTAAACAGCCTCTACTCAGCTTATAAGAACTTATTTTCCAATAAGTGGTTTGTTTAACTTGTGAGAGACAAACATGATTTGTTGAGGAATAAATAAGAAAAGAATAGATTGCTTATAGTAACTAAGCAATTAGGACTCCAGTTTTACTCTCAATAATTTGATGTTAAATGTAATAACAAGACAACAAGACAACAACAACACAATTGGAAGAAAAAGCTTAGCATACTTTGAACCCACCATTAGTAAAACTTGATTTCACTAAATAATCTAGAAGATGCTATGCTAAAATATTTAATCACACAGGATCAACAATCATATTTTCTTTAGATTTACATATAGGAGTCATGCTAAATGCCAAATCTCAGAAGGTAGCAGGCACTTCACCAGTTTGTTTAACCCTGTTTGTTAGAAATGTGCTGTATATATACGGTTAATTTTATATGCCACAACCAACGATTCCCCAGAAAAATAGCCAACATAATTCTAAGACTATGTCATATGACAACAGGTAATATCATCTCTCTCATCTGTCAGTGTTTTCTTTGTAATCTTTATTCAATTGGGGAAGCTGTTAAAAAATATAACAATTATATTTGAAATACCTTCAAATTAACAACCAAGGTTTAGTATCATTAAAATGGGTAATATTGTAGGATGAGAAAAATCATGTCTAAATTATATTGTCATAATTTCTATATGACAAACAGGCCCACTTGTGAAATCATCTGACTCAAATACATATGGTAATTTATAAAAATTAACCAAAATGTGATCAACAAACACTAAAACATTATTGAAGCAAAATAAATACAGTAGTCGTAGTACTTCAACTTAATACTGATTTAAACACAGATAAAAAGGCACCGAACACTTAAATTATTATTAATATTAATGGGCACTCTTATTTATTTTTTAAAGTACACGAATCTCTAAAAAAAAAAAAACGACTTTGATGACAAGTGTGCTTCTTCTAACATAGAAATGTAAGAACAGCACCTTTATATTGTAAAAACAAATTCAGAAGACATGGCCAAATGAGCACCACAAAACAGGCTTTATAAATCTATTTTTACTCTATTATTAAATACGACAAATAGCAATAGCGACGCCAGTATTTGCTGCCTGCTGTTACATTATTTTAATTCAACACATTTACATTTTACTTAGCTCCGAAAATAACAGGCTAGCTAAACGTTAGCTTATAACCCGGCAAAAAACTGATTTTGTAGACTATTTTATCGCTTATTAGAGTCAAAAACACAATTAAACCCAGTAGACAACACACTATCATAAACCCACGTACAAAACAGCACATATATGTTAGTAACTGTTAAAAGTTACAGCTCTACATTGTGTTTTGAAGCCGAAGTTTCAATTAGCTATAGCTAATAACCAAGCTAACGTCAATGTATGTTTCTCGACAACAAACAGCAGCAAACAAGACGTGACGCACTTACGACTATTTCTGCACAACGAGACGATTTAATAAAACGTATGAAAACAACAAAAGACACAAAAACACTTGGTGATGGTTTTGTTTATTTTCTACAAATAATATAAAACAACAAACTAACGTACGATAGCAATAGCTTTACCAAGCTGCTTTGTCAGTTAATAGAAATTGTGCAAATTCAACTTGTGACCTTAAAATAAAAAACACACACGCAACACAAAAAAACGTTTTCAACGGTTTTTAACCAAATAAAAGCATACAATGTTAAACAGTTAAAAACATTTTGATAGTAAGCTTCGTTAGCTTTTCACTTAGCTGTCTACTGACAGACAGAGCTTTAGCTAACCGGTTTCTATAGATTACCCACTTAAACATTTGTGCCTCTTTGTTTACTAGATAGATTTCTATTCTAACGATACCTTTCAGGAATACAGGCTGTCTGTCCTTACCAGTACTGGAATCTTTAGTTGTTTTGAAGCTGTTCAGAACAGGTTTGCAGGTTATCCTGGCTCAAGATGGCTGCTTACGGCACAGGGTTTCCTCGGCTCTATACAATGGGCTTCTGGGACAAAGAACCTTGTATGCGGCGATTTGCTGTTTGAGCACCATCAGTAGGAGTGGAGACTGGAAAAGATCGTATTATTATATGTCAGAGGTTTAAAATAACATTACTTACATCAACATAGAGATATTGGACATGTTGTATGTGACAGCAGCTTAAATGTCACAGCTTTAATAATGAAAAAAAAGTATATATTCTGTTTTACTGTCTATTGGCCTAGTTAGTATGTGTGATATGGGGCGTTTGCTACTTTTGTCCTGCAAGGGCACCCTTACACCAGACAGGAATAACATAATGAACATCCACACCTGTAAACCTGCCAAACTGAATAGAAGCTGGTTATTTAAATTCAATAAGTTGCAAGGTGGGGACTTTATTCATTGGACTCGTTTGTTCAGTACCTTCACCACATGCTTGACTGGAAAAAGGTCTGGAGCATTTGGAGGGTAAACCTGTCTTCTGCTACTTAAACCACATCTAATTAATGCTGCCTTCACTTGGTCTGGTTAAGAGGATCCTTAACACATGTAAAGTGGAAATTACAAGCGTAATGCGTTGAAGTGTTTTTGTTGTGGGTCCAAATATCCTGACCTGCCACTTGGGCAGGACAGTAATAGACTTACTAGTTAATTTGCTAAAGGAAGAAGAGGATGCATCAAATGCATCGACTTGGTTGCGAGAATTTGATCAGATCAAATAACGGTCATTTTCGAAACAATTAAAAAGGTTTAAATACTTTAATTCATTAATTAATTCATTCTTCCCTCCATTAAGGACATGTCATCTCAGCGCTGCATGCCCCGAGTAATCCCGGTAACATCATCAGGGACCCCTCATCCCCCACCATGGACTGTTGTCCCTGCTGCCATCTGAGAAGAGGCTTCGCAGCATTTGATGCAGGTCCAGCAGGTTCTGCAACAGCTTTTCCCCCGCTGCCATCAGACTGTTGAACTGTCAAGCTCTAACTGGACTCTGCATCACACTTGCAACATTATTTTGCACTACCAACGAAGCCAAAACTTTTCTATTGCTTTTAAATAGGACACATTTAAATGTTATAATGCATTTTGCACCATATTTATTTTGAATCACACTGAAGCTTTCAATATTATTGCCCTTTGCACCATTATGTTTTAAACTAGTTTTCCTTTTGTGCTACACTGTTTACATTCTGATCACTGCTGCCCTTTAAATTTTAATGTTCATTTCACTGTTGTAAGCTGCTCATTTCCCTGGTGTAAGCAACTTAATTTCATTTGTGTACACTCTGTTTATACACAATAACAATAAAGTTTAAGTCTAAATTCAATGATAAAATTAAAGTAACTCAAAGTAATCCCATATAAAGTTGAGCTGCTTTAGTACGTCTCTGCTGACATTTCCTCAATTATATTTTACAGCAGGTGTTAATGGTTCACAGAGATGCTCCAAAACTTCAGAGGGATCTAATTTTCAACAAGTATGAATAACACTGAAGGGTAAATACAATTGACCAATTTTAAGAAATTAGTTATATAATGGATATAAGGTAGCAAAAGAGTAAAGACCATCATCAAGTCCAAAATATATATATATATATATAAAAAATGTAAATCTCTTTATTGTTCCACAATGGAGAAATTGATTCTGCATTTTGACCTATCCCCTTAGAGAGCAGTGGGCTGCCATTGTGTGGCTCCCGGGGAGCAGTGTGGGGTTAAGGGTCTTGCTCAGGGACCCAGAGTGCAGGCTGTGGGGATCAAACTGGATACTTGCAACCTTCTTAGAACACAAGCGCACTGCTCTAACCACTAGGCCAACACTCCCCTCCAATTAATGGAAATCTTTTTAAATTTATGAAAAGAAAAGAAGAAAGATGGTCAGTATGATTGACAGTATAACAAATCATTAAAAGAGCAGCAAAAATTTCTTGTAAGTAGTGGTTGAGTAGTATGACAATCTTCCATATTCTTGCCATGTGTGGGTTATGGAGTAAGACAAAAAGACAGATTTTTATTTTTCTATGAAGACATACAGTCAAGCTTGCATAAGAATGTTGGGTAACGTTGTATGGTTTACAAACCATTAAAAAAACAGCAAATGCTGAATATAAAGAACACCTTTCAGCACAACACAAAGGTACAAATGATCTAGTATCCGAATGCTAGTTCACTTCTAATTTCAGTTAAAATGTGTGAGATGATCTAAACTGCACTGAGCACAGAAGGCGACCTCCTAATCAGTCCTACGTATGTTCAAAGTAGAGTTTACAATATTAAGCTGAGATGTCCCATGATCATACCCAAAAGATGTCTGCTGTAATAAAATCAAAATGTTATTCAAAAAAGTATTAGTATGGGGGTGTACTCAGTTATTATCATTCACATGCTCTTACCTGGTAAAACTGTAATCTTTTTTTTAGCAAAGATGTACAGGAAAAGGACCTGAAATGTTTTTCTAGGTTCTTTTTGTTTTATATCAATTGTATATCGCACCTACTAACTAATGACTTTGATTTCACCTGATAATAGTCTTGATGTCATATTTAGTCAGCAGAACTGGACATTGCATAGTTGATTGGCACATAGGTACAGTTAATTATCTTCCCTCAGAAATAACAGAAATTTGCATTGAAACAGCTTAATGAGTATTTTTTCTAAGTGTTTTTTTCTTTTTCTATACTAGATGTATATTCAGAGTTCTGCTTTTCAATTTTTATCCTAATGATAGAAAAATATTTTTCAAAAGTGATCTTTCAGAGAAAAGTTTGTTTTGTAGCTATATTCCAAATTTCAAACAAAAAGCCAGATTTAAAAAAACGAAAAACAATAATTATACATTTTCTTTCTTTCCACATTATTCAGTAAAAATAAGTATTTGATTCTTGAGGAAAAGACAATTTAAAATTTGATGTACAAAATGCTTGTGTTTTTTTTTGTTTGCACACATAGATATTTTGGAAAAATCTTTATTTGATTATTAAATCTTTATTATATATTCTTTGCTTCAGACTGGCAACTCAAAACTTGCGCTATACCTCCATCGATTTTCTGCAGGACTGAAGTATGAAGACTGGCTAATACACTTCATGACCTTAATATGGTTCTCCAAAGTTTTTTTATCTGTACTCCAAAATCCCTAAACTCTCTGAGCTTTCTTGATATTTGTTTATTAGGGCAAGTTCAAAAGATGACAAGAGAGAGAGACTAAAAAGCAGCTGCAACAAAATAGCTTAGCATAGACAAACAAGACAACCCAATCAACCTCTATGCTGGGATCCGTTATCAGAATAGGAGAGGTTAGAAGTAAACGCTTACAGTATAAAATCCCATCCCCTCTCCTTTACCTACTGGGATCTGTTGATTTCTTCTAATAATTCTTATGCTGTCCAGTGAACAGAAAACAAACTGATAAAAAACCCTACCAATATAAGTAGGGTAGATAAGTAGAACTGGTAGGCTAACCATAAATCTCAAATGCCTCTAATAACATTAAACCACGCACTTATTCTGGTATTGATTGAAATATGGCTGGCCGATATGGCCAAAAAAACACATTTGTGTATTTTGTTCGATACAATATAATTTCAATATTGATATATATATAAAAAGGTCTTAGAAAGACTGCAAAGAATCTCAACCACAGATACCTGTAGAAACTGCTGACAATTATTTTGCCATGCTTATAAAACTCCTCAAACATAACATTTTAGAAAGATTTGCTTTAAAATACAAATAAACAAAAAAAGCTTCACAAATGTCAGTTACAAAAGCTGTTTTTTGTAATATAAATATTGAAATATCAGAAAATATTTAAACTTCAGATTACCAATATGGAATTAAGCTATGACGCTATATATACACGTATTGAGATTGAAATACAGCCCAGCTGAAGGTCAAACCATTTCTTCAGAGATCTATATTTAGACCACTCCACAGCCTAACACTCCATCTGGAAATAAAAAATGTTCAGTTTGCTCAGCGGACAGTTACTATTTTCAAATTTAAATCACTTCTTAGATTATATCCTCCCTCTCGATTAATAAACATTATATTTATATTACCTATTAAGTTATTGTCTCTTGCCCTAAACACCATTTAGCCTCTATGGCTTTCTAAATGTCAAATATGATTTCATTATTTTTTTCCTAAAACCAAACCGACCCTCAGAGAGCAGTTTGTGTTTATCAAGTCATTTATCTAATCTGGTGTTGAAAAGTTTGTCTATTATTTAGGAAAATTACAGCAGTAAAGGGACAGACCTGCAGTTTGTAAATTAATGTTTTTTCTTTCTATTTTTGTAAGTTTCAACCTCTTGTTTAGGTTAAAGTCAACATCTCATGACAATAGTTAAGATTCAGATTTGATTTCCTGCTCCATCCTGCCATACCTCTGTGACAGCACATCAACATCCTAGCACTGTTTGAGACTAAAGGAGATTGAGACTAAACTCTCTAACTAAAGAGAGTAACCTGCTAAGAGTAAAATGCTACATTTGAATAAGTGTTAGTGCACAAGTTTGCAGATGGATGTAAAATGTTACATCATTCTTTTTCTCAAACATGTTTATGAGATATTTTGTGATTCCTCCCTTTGATTCTTAGTCCAAAAAAAACAAACTGATTTGGGATTATTCTGAATGTTTTTCTTGTCAAGATACACTGCATTGAGCGCAAGTTTTCCTTTGAAAAATATGAAACATTTATTGATTAAATTCACAACAATACATGCTCTTACTAATCAGCGTTTCATAGAAGACCTTTAAGTTTCTCACCAGCTGGCTGGTAGTACTGCAGCACAAACCAAAATAAAAAAAATACATAGTAAAGTAAATAGACAATGAATTTTAAAGACAACATCAAGCATTTATTGGATCTTGAAAACTAAAGCAAACCCCTTTAAACAGAGAGAAAGATATGCTTTTAAGTAAAAGTAAGATTTCATAAAGCTAGAATAAACATTTCCATGGGTCATTAATGTTATTTATGGATTATTTATTTTTGATGGGTTAATATGGGTATCTTTATTTTTATGGGTTATTAATGTGTGTTTATGT